CCCCAAAACCCCAAAACCCCAAAACCCCATAATAAGTTATTCAAGAAATTCAGTGGATTATGATATAAGAAATTAGTAAATAGTAATTTGTAATTGAAAAGATATTGGATGATTAAGAAAGTCCTGTTTGGAGCACAACTTGTGACCTACTTAGCATTAGTCAGCAATGGAAACTGCATCGCCGTTCAAAGTGAAAAGTAGCCTGCAAGTGTTCATTTAATAGAAACTACCCAAAACAAATTAGAGGTTGCTGAAAACATGTTTAGAGGAGTTTATGGCTTAGAAGGTAAGCCAGCTCCTGATTCAAATATCAGATAATTTATCCTCAGCTATATACTCCCTCCTGCCACTTACGAAAACATGATAACCTTTGATGACTCTACACAGCAAGTCAAACCAGTTGAACTTATGACAAATACGAATCAAGAGTGCAAATTCTATGCAACCTCTTCAAAGTCATTCGCTTCTTATTCAAGTTCATCAGTAAACAGTCAGTCAAATGCATGGTCGGTTGGCTATGAAAATGAGGTTACTGTTTCTGCTGAAGTCGGAGTTGGTGAAGAAGGAAAGGTCTCTGCTGAGACGACAGTAAAAAATGGATTCAACTTTGCAGTCAGTGATGAACTATCTTAGGAATATTAATTTGCATCAACTTCAAACACTTACACAATGAATCAAGTCGCTGTTGCGAAGATGTTTTCAATGACTTGGGATATTTAGCATCCTTTCTAACTTGCGCCAACATTCGCTTCAGCCTTGTAGTCTTTGGGACAAAATTAGGCTTCTACAATTTAAGACACCTATAATTTGGTGAACACCTTTGGAACCCATTTTTATAGTTCCGCAGTGGTAGGGGCAAGAGCTGAAGTTCAACTCTTCTCTGATGGTTCTTCAACTCAAGAATCATTTAACCAAGAGGCAACAAAGACATTCCAAGGAGGAGTCACTTTAATGAATCTTGGATTGAGTTACACTAGCTCAAGTTCTTCGCAATCTTCGACCTCAGGAAACGTAACTGGCTCAAAGATGACATATTCTCTCAATACAGATGGATGCACAAAATCATCATGTGGAACAATCCAACGATGCGATGCTACCAAGCCAAAGATCATTTAGTATACCTTATAGGGGGTATGGGAACTCAGCAGCAAATTCCCTTAGTATAGCGCTGCCTTCTAAAAAATTAAGTTTTTCTACGATTAGGCTTAATTAAAGGGAATGGAATGTAGATAAAATTACTGTAATGGCCATGGAATTTGCCCACCAACCGGAGGGTTTAATATGAATCAACTTTTCAATGGTGTTGTATATCAGAAATGTGTTTGTGATTAAGGGTTCATTGGCTCTACTTGCAAGCAAGTTGAGGTTCCTTTCCTACCAGTTACTCTCAATTAATGCAAATAATGTGCTTCTGGAAATAACGGAGGTAGTTGTCCTAGTGGAGTCTACACAAAGAATGGTGGCATAGTCATTGGCGATGGTTGGTCAGATTTCCATAGATCATTCAATGGAGTTTGTCAGGGCTCACTTACTAGTTCAGGAGGATCGGCTGCGCTTTGTTGTCAGGAGGATAATGGCTATTCAAACATCGGGGAGTGCAGATAATGTTCTTCTTGTGGAGGAGACTACCCTTACTATGGAGGACATGTGAATAGGTTCGACACCTGGTCATATTATTGGTGGAACTCTTACACTTTTGGTGGTCAGTGCAGTGGGAGCATAGCAGACAGAGCTGCAGAAATCTCTGACGGAAGACACGGAATAAGTCTGTGTTGTAAAAGCTAACCCATTTGCCAATGGTGCACTACTTGTGGAGGTAAGTACCCAAATTCAGAGGGACAAACTTCTGTAAGCAGGGACTGGTATCTTGCTACTAACACTAAAGGAGAAAAATGTGGCAATGAGGGATTCAGCTAAAACTGGTTCTAAGGAGGAATCAACTTATGTTGCATGCAATCTACCAAACTCTCTGAATTTCTTGTTGAACCGGCAGATCTTCAAGTTCCTTTGACTTCATCTGGGGATAGTTACTTCAGGATTCTACAAGGCCTCTCAAATCCTACATTTAGTAAGGGTACGAAGAGGTGTGATGATGGAAAGGACTATGATGTCCTTACGATTGCAGCTGGTCCTTCTCAAAGTTCTCCAAGAGTAGCTGGAGGCATGATTGTTCCAAGAGATCTTGCTTGGTCCTCTGCAGAACCTGCCAGTCCATAAGATTCTTTCTCTATCCACATTGAAGATTAAACTAACTATATGACTATTGTGGGATGGGGTTATTTCCCCCCTAATCCAAGATCTCTTTACAGAGGATAGCTTGACCTCAGCAGATTCATCATAAAGGGGAATAATTACTAAGGATATTTCAAACAAATTGTTTGCTAAGGTACTTCCTATGTTGCATTTGACCTTCTTCCCAAGTGAGAGAAGTTTGATTTCATAATCACTTGATGTTTAAACTATAACAATAACTATAAAAGCAATTTCAATAAAATTATACTGCTTATTAGGATTGCGAGGTAGATTAAAGGTTTTAATTTTATAAAAAAATAAATAATAATCAGAATAAGAATTAGTTTGAATTTAAAATTAGGGCTCAATATTATATATAGCTGCTTAATATATTAAAGTTATCACCTTGCCTATATTTGCTTCCTGAAATTATCAAAATTAAAATATTATCAAGTTTTAATAAAAATACTCAGTCTCATGGGGTTTTGGGGTTTTGGGG